CTCCCTCCAACCCAGGTGTGTCAAGTTGACACTAAAGCTATCCAGCACATATATCTATATAGCTATATATATCTATATATTCCCCCCAGGTCTTTACTGGGCTAAGGAAAAGAGGGTATCAAGATTTTTTAAAAAATAGACATTTTTACCCAAACCTGAAGTCAAGTCCCAGAGGGTAGATTTGCTCTGAAACTGAATGATGGTAAGAGTCTTACTCAGAAATCTGGAGAGGCTCATTTCTCCAGTCAGTTCTTTCTCATCATGTAGGCAGGTGATTAGGATTCAGCCTAGAAACCTGAAGACTTCCCAATGAGCACGGTGGAAAGAGCTATGTCACATGTTACAGAATTACATAACTTAAGGAACTTCAGGAACTCAAATGGTTCACAGCTCTGAAGCATTTCTGCCTACTCCTGGTTCCTGAAGTCTAGAGCTTTCCCTTTACCTAGAGCAACTTAATCTCTTTCTACCATGCAGGCAGCATTAATTGCATTCAGTGGTTATTAAGGAGACATGAAGATGGGACAGGGACACATTAGGGAAGTCTGGGAAGAGTGGCATATTAGTTGGCTTTATCTGTGGCTGGGATTACCAAAAGGAATTTGAGGAAGAAAGGGCTTATTTGGCTTATACTTCCTGATCACAGTTCATCTAGGGAAGTCAAGGTAGGAACTCAAGTAGGAGCAGAGGGAGGAACTGTGAGGAACTAGGAAGGAACCATGAAGGGACGCTGCTAACTTGCTTGCTTCCTTAGCTTACTCAGTTACGTTCCTTATATATAGCCCAGGGTCATCCAGTGGGCTGGGCCTTCCTCCATCAATTAGCAATTGAGAAAATGCCTTACAGACATGCCCACAGGCCCTATGGAAGAAATGCCTCAGTTGAGGTTTCCTCTTCCCAGATGATTCTAGTTTGTGTCAAGTTGACAGAAACTAACCAGTACAAGTGGGAAGGAGGAGTTAGGGGTGAGTATGATCAAGGTACACTGTATATGAATTGTGTATGAAATTGTCAAATAATAAATTTGAAAAATGTTCTTTTTGAGACACGGTCTCACTATGTAGCCCTGGCTAGCCTGGACCTCCCTATGAAGACCAGGCTGGCTTTGAACTCACAGAGATCCTCCTGCCTTTGCCTCCTGATGTGGGAATTAAAGGAGTGTACCACCATGCTCTGCCCTATTCCTTTTTATTGCCAATAATATTCCATGGTATGGATATGCCATATTTTATTTATCCATTCATCAGCTGATGAACATATGTTTTTTTCACTGCTTCATTATTATGATCAGTTCTGCTGTGAAATTTATATTTTTGTGTAAACAAGATTCTCATTCATCTTGGATGTATGCCTAGAATTGGATCAGTTGGGTCATATGGTAACTCTATGTTTAATACCATGAGGAATTGCTAAACTGTTTTCCAAAGTGGCTGAACCATTTTACATTCCTACAAATATTATATGAAGGTTCAAATTTCTTTACATCCTTGATAACATTTGTTATAATTTTTCATTGTAGGCACCATGGGTGATTGTTGATATCTCTGTAATGTTTTCTCTCCCCTCCCCTCCCTTTCCTTTCCCTCCCCTCCCCTCACTTTTCTTCAGTGCAGTCATATCCAGGTCCTTTCACATGCTGGGAAAACACTCCACCACTCACCTACCCTCCCAAGTCCAATTATATACTAGTGTGATTTGCTTAATATGTGTGTTGCCACTAAAGCATCAATTTCATGAAAATCCATGACTGTATTTTCTGGCTTACTAATATATCCTTATTACTTAGCACAGTAACTACCAACAGAAAAGTATAAATATAAATATTTGTTTGGTGACTGAATTAAAGGTTCTCTTTCAGTCCTGCAATTTGCTAGATGCATTATGTTGGGTAAATTACTTAATTTTGTATGGAACTCTCATTTCTTGGGTTAGATGGGTGGGTGTCTTAGTCTGGGTTCCCTAGAAAGCCAGGCTGAAGACAAAGGCTTCTGTGGCAGTTTTGTTGGGAAGTGCAACTACAGGAAACAGAGGCCAGGGAGAGGGATGAAGGATTGAACCCTGGTTGAGCTTGCTGCAGTTATATGTCACTAGAAGCTATATAACCTATCTGCCAAGAGTCCATTTGAGAAGCCAGGTGTGGTTGTAGCACTAGAGAGGCTGAGGCAGGAGGACTGTTTGAGGCCAAAACAAAACACCTTTGGGGAAGGAAGGGAAATTGCTATGCACTGACTGGATAGTGCTAATTCCCCATGCTTCTAGAAGCCCCAGACAGACATAGGTGTAATGCTTCAAGTTGCAATGCAGTGGTTGGAGCCTGCATGGAATTGACCAGTACAGCAGGATCACCTACTTTGGAGGGTTCTGGAGGGAGTGGCCAGAAAACACACCTGGCACCTATTTAGCAACCAGCCACTAAAAAGCTCATTGCTACTATTAGAAACAAAGATTTCAGTTTCTTAAATCTTTCCTCCCCTCCCTTTCCCCTCCTTCCCTTCACTCTTTCTGTCCCTCTCTTCTTAACAAGGTGATGTATGAAGACAGTATGGAAAAATAAGGGAAAAATTGCTAAGAAAACCCAGGGGGGCAAAGAGGAGTTAAATTAGTGTGAAGTTTCAATTTGAAGTGTATGTACTGGTGTATGGATAGACAGAACATAGGGGTGTAGTTGGATTGGGGGGACAAAGGGATGACACAGCACTGCAAGACTTTTACCACCTGAGAAGGCAAGCATGCCTGGCCACATTTTATTCATTAGAAGAGTCCTGAAGTCTGGCCCACACTCAAGGGTAAGGGAATTAGTCTTCACATGAAAGAAAATGTGCCCACCTTTTCTGTGTTTGTTGTATATATTTGCATGCAGTTGCCTTCGTCTGTGCACATACTTCTGGAGGCCAGGTTGCCATTGGGTGTCCTCTATTGTTCCACACACAAGACCCCAGGATGCACCCTTCTGAGCACCCCAGTGCTGGGATTACAGACATATACCCTTGTGTCTGTGAGTGCTGGGGATCTGAGCTCTGGCCCTCAGGTTTGCATGGCAAACAGTTTACTGCTTGGCCCTCACTCTGTTTTAGAGAAAAAGTTTTTCACTGGGTCCTGGAGCTTGCCCATGTGGTTAGGCTGGCCAGCCAGCGAGGCCCAGGAATTGGTCTCTGCTTCCTCTGCACTGGAATCTAACTCAGGTCCTCATGCACTTTACTGGATGACCATCTCTCCAACTAGGCTTCACATTGTCACTTTTTTTTCCTTTTTAGTTGTTTTATTTTAAATTTTTATTTTATGTATATGAGTGTATTGCCTGCATGTAGGTAAGTACACCACATCGTGCAATGCCCATGGAGGACCGAAGAGGCTGTCGGATCCCCTGGAACTGGAGTTATGGACAGTTGGTAGCCGCCATGTGGGTGCTGGGATTCGAACCCTGGTCTTATGCAAAAAGTCAGTGTTCTTGTCTGTTGAGCCATCTCTCCAGGCCCTCTTTTAGATTTCTAAGAAAGGGTCTGTCTGCACCATCAGATGGCCTGGAACTCACTGTGTAGATTCTGCTAGCCCAGATTTCACACAGATTCACCTGCCTTTGCCTCTACCACCCCAGTATTGAGATTAAAGGTGTGCACCACCAAGCCCGGCCCATTTTCACATACCTTAAAACCTTCACCGTTGGGGCTAGAGAGATGACTCAGTGGTTAAAAGTTCTGGCTGCTTTTGTGGAGGTCTTGGATGTTCCCAGCATCCTTGTGGCAGCTAACAACCTCTGTAACCTTAGTTCCAGGGGATCCTACTCCCTCTTCTGGCCAGCATCGGCATTGTATGCATGTGGTACACATCCGTGCAAAACAGTTGTAAATAAAAATATCAAAAAAAGGAGTGGACCCACTAGACAAACAGGCACAGTGCTGCATATATATCTTTAAACATTTTAAATTACAGATCTGACCTCATTTACAAAGACTCATTTAAAGTTATTTGGCAAAGAACTGGAAGAGGGGTGAAAGAACAAAAAGCTGAAGAGGATGTGAATGAGAAAAATTGGCTGAGGTCAAATTGACGTTGCCCAGGCAGGAAAAAGGGAAGGTCGCTTGCAGATGCAGGTGGAAGGACCAAACGGGACACATTACTACCCATTTTACCACTTTCCAAGGACAGGCTGGTGGAGTTCTATTCACGAGGGGAAGAACCTGTCTAAACCTTGCTTAGCTTAGTCACTGCCTGTGATGATTATTTTAAACAATACTGGGTGGCTTCACAATACCATTTCTGGATTCTGTTTTCTCCTAAATTCCACTCTTCTGTTCCTTCAAACCCCTCTCAGCCTTGGCTGGCAGCTTTTCTTTAACTTAATTTGCACAAACTGTCATGCACGCCAAGAGGATTTAACCTAGTAATTACATCCAGAGAGGTTTAGTGTACAAAGACGTAGCATGAAACCCAAGAGGTTTATTGCCTCCATAAAAGGATCCTTAAGATCTGCGGTACCAACCATACATACCGTACTCCCTGTGCCCTGGCTACTTTACTGCACCAGTTGGAGGCAGGAACTAAAAAGTTTTGCAAATACAACTAGCCCGTTTGCTTAACCTCTCCACGCCTAGCACAGTACAAGTACACTTTGAAGCTCCTGAGTATGCAGCTAATCTTTTGAAGCCAGGGAGTCCCAGCAGCAGCGAGCCAAGTCCTTCCTGTGGGTCGTGGGGACCAAGGCCACCCGGAGCTTCCCCTGAAGACTGATGGGGATGCTAAGGGCTCAGCGAGGGCTCACGCGGCCTCGGCTTCCGGGATCCGTGAGAGGCCTTGCAGGTCGTTGGCGCCGAGCACAAAAGGAGAGGCGAAGGGAAGCTGGGACCGTCATGATGAAGGACTACGGGAGAGGGACAGGGAGCAACTAGCGCCAGGACTATCCCAGACGGTGGGATGGGTGAGAGGTCGCGAGCCTCTCCCCTCGCTCGCGCCGCTTCCGGCACCCCGGCCCCGCCCCCGCGCTGCCACATCTCCGGTGACGTCAGCACGCGCCGCCATATTGGGAAGGCGCCGCCGCCGCTGCCTCCGCTTGGGATCCTGGGTTGAGTGGGGCCACGGCTGCGGGCAGGAAGGCGCCGTTAGTACGCAGCCGTCGCCTGGCCCTCCCGCATTGCTGCGACCCGTCTCCCCATGACTGCCTTCGGCCCCGCAGCCGCCGGAAGTTGCTCAAGCGGCGGGATTTAACACGGAAGCCCCGGTCGCCGGGGCGGTGAGGGAGCTGCAGGGACAGCCGGCCGGTCCCGCGTCCCTGTCTGTCGGGCGCGGCGCCTTGGCCGGAGCCATGACCTCGCTGACCCAGCGCAGCTCGGGCCTGGTGCAGCGGCGCACCGAGGCCTCGCGGAACGCTGCGGACAAGGAGCGGGCGGCGGGCGGCGGCGCCGGCGGCGGCAGCGGAGAGGACGAGACGCAGGGCCGCCGCGACGAGCAGGATGACGACGACAAGGGCGACTCCAAGGAAACGCGACTGACCCTGATGGAGGAGGTGCTCCTCCTGGGCCTCAAGGACCGAGAGGTGCGGGCGCGGCGGGCTGGGCGGGGGTGGCGCGGGGCTAGGCCCCAGGTGGGCCCCAGGTGGGCGCCGGCCTCGGGCAGCACCTGCCTCTCCCTCCGGAGTCCCGCGCCCGGGAGCGTCCCACTTGCCCGGAGGAGTGTTGGAGTCACTTCGCCCCGGGGCGGCCCTGTACCTTCCGGATCCTCCCGGTACCGATGGCCTGGATCGTTCCTTCCTCGGTTCACAGGGACTCTTCAGTTCGGCATCTTGGCACTCTTTGCATTTCTTCTTCCTCGCTTCTGCGTATGTTTGCAAGGCTAAGCTGAAACTACTTGGTAGATAACACACCTCGCGTTTCCACCGGTCGGGACCTTTTTGTTTTGAGGGTTTTAAGACCTGGAAGGGGTTCACGGATCTGCTTGCTGTGGGCCTCCTTTTCTTTTTAAAACTTCAATTAAGGTATGCTGTTTGGAATTACGAAAACTAGGAAAGTTATTTTACTGAACAAAGTTAAAAGTCATTACAAAATTCTCATAAAAGCTAGATGTTACTTTCCAGGTGAACTTGATTTGGGTGAAAGATGAGTTAGTATTTCTGTTCAATTTTATCAGTGGACTGACTGCTCCCAGAGGTTTTTTTTTTTGTCGTTTTAAGGAAGGGCTTTGTCATGAAGTGCTGGAAGTGGAGTTTGTGATTTGATGAAAGGCTGATGAGGTGTAAGTTGTCAAAGGTATTTCGTTGTATGTCGTCTTTTGAAAACGGTTATTTTCACCCCGTGTTAGATTTTTACACATAGAGGTTGATCGACTCTAGTCACCACCTACTCTCTGTAGTTTTCTACTTTATCACATATCTGTCCATCTACAAAAAGATTGTTATTATTATTTTTGGTCTTTTTGAGACAGGGTCTCTCCCTGTAGCCCTAGCTGTCCTGGAACACTATGTAGACCAGGCTGGCCTTGAACTCACAGAGATGCGCCTGCCTCTGCCTCCCGGGTGCTCGGATTAAAGGCGTGCGCCACCACACCCGGCCAAAAACGATTATTTTTTTTAAAGACAAGCGTGTACGTTTTGATGTTTTATAAATTGTGTTTGGGCTCAAGTAGCCCGGAATCTTAGAAAGTTAAAGCTGTCTTAAGGCAATCTGCACTCTATTTTTCTGTGATCGGTTCTCACAAAGGTAGTCTGAAGAATTTGTTGAAGTTTAAGGAAATTTATAGACAGTTTTTATTATTATTTTTTTTGACAATTTGAAGTTCCTTGATGCCGGGTAATTGAAACCATCTGCTGTGGTCATTTTCTCTAAGTAGTTACTCTACTTTGTAAGTCATGGCCAAGGTCCAGACACTAATTAATACCGAGTGGTTTTTTTTTTTTTTTTTTTTTTTTTTTGATTCAAAATACATAGGGACGGGCAGGGAATTTTTCAGGTGGGGATTTTGCACTGCTTTAGGTTTTGGTTTTAGGGATTAGCCTGTGTATATTACAAAGCAGATCTGTAAACCTATTCACTCCTCTTTAGGAAGGTCCCCCCCCCCCTTTTTTTTTTTAAAGACAAAGCTTTCTTATATTTTGGACCAAGTGGAGACTTGTTTTAAAACTACATTCATTTACAGGGGGTGGGGGTGGGTGCTTGTGCCACTGTGGCATGTGGGGGTCAGAGGACAACTTACTGGAGTCAGTTCTCCTAACATACGGGTTCTGGGGATCAGGCTTGGCAGCAAGCCCATTTTTCTGTTGAGCCGTCCCACAGATCCCGCCTCATCTTTTTTAAAAAATATATTTTTATTTTATGTGTATGAGTGTATTGCCTGCATGTGTGTAAGTGTACCCGTGTCGTGCAATGCCCGAGGAGGTCAGAAGAGGGAATGGGATTCCCAGAACTGGAGTTAGCTGTCATGTTGCTGGAATCGAACCAGGGTCCTCTGCAAGAGCAGCCAGTGCTCTTAATTACTCTCCAGCCCCAACTCCTCATCTTCTTATGGGACAGAAGTTTCTTTGCTGATAAACAGGTGCTCTAGCTTCTCATTACCTACAGGGAGTTTGCTTAAAATCCTGACAATTGATTTTTTTTTTTTCTCCCAAGTAGGCATTTCAGGTTTTGTTTTCCTTTTTTTAAACCATAGATGCCTTGGGGCCCCTTAGGGGATTTCCTTGTTATTCCCGATGAAGAGTCTATGACTCTTCAGAGGCCACTCACTGTTAAGGATGGCAGGTAGGTTTACACTTGAATTCTAATTAAATAATTAGCAAGATTTCTTTGCAGGGTGCTTGGCAGGGCTGGGAAGTGGTATTTTCCTTTCCATACATAATTGTATTTTTTCCCATAGATTCCTCCACTAGAGTACTTCAGGATATAGCAAGGTTTACGTTAAATAACTGGTAGACTCACATTTTCTTTGGTGATTGAGACCTTTGAGTTTAGTCTCTTACATGCTGTGCAGTTTTAACTACAACCCCAGCCCCTTAAATAACTTTTAATCACTTTATTGGTGGTAAATCTAAAGACTTTTAGGGTTGGATTTGACTGTTTTCAGTGGCTAATCTAATTTGGAGTATGGGGGCTGAGGAGATATGTTGAAGTGCTTCCACGAAAACACGAGGACCTGAGTTTGATCCCCAGCACCCATGTGAAAGGCTGAAAGTGGTAGCACCTATTTGTAGTCTCAGTGCTTGGGGAGGTAGAGACAGGTGGATCTCTGGAACTCCTTGACCAGCCAGCCTAGCTTACCCAGCAATCTCCAGGCTAGCGTGAGACCCCTGTCTGAGGAAACAAGGTGGATAGCATCTGAGAGCAACACTGAAGTTGACCTCCAGCCTCTACATCATCATGCACACACATGCACATGTACCCATACCCGTACCTGCACTAAAGTATCTGTAGAAGTGGAGAGAGGCTTTGTAGCCCTGGTCTGAGGCATATCCTTTGCTTTACGTATTGATACTTTCTGAACCTCCAAGTTCTCATTAAAAATGGAAAAATAGGCACTCAAAATGGTTGGCCACTCCTGTGGACACTTACTGTAAACACCCCACCATGTCGTCCCAATGTTGTCTTGGGGGGAGCGGTTCTTCATTGTGTATTACCTTAATATTGCTAATTTTGTTTTGGTCTGATTTATTTTTCAGATATGGTCTCAAGTAGCTCAGGCTGGTCTTGAACCTTCTGCTTCTCCTGCCACCACCTCCCCCAGTGCTAGGAATAGTGGCAACTTTAGAATGGCTTTTTTAAAAAAAATTTATTGTTTTTATTTTATGTGTATGAGTGTTATGCCTGCATGTAGGTAAGTGCACTCGTGTTGTGCAATGCCTGTGGAGCACAGAAAAGGCTGTCGGAGCCCCTGGACCTAGAGCTATGGACAGTTGTAAGCTGTCATGTGGGTGCTGGGATTTGAACTGGATCTTCTTCAAGAACAGTGTTCTTAACCACTGACCCATCTCTCCAGCCTTGTGGGCTTTTTTTTTAATTAAAATTTTTTATACGTATGAGATATGCCTGTGTGTATGTAAGTGCACCCATGTCATGCAATGCTGGTGGAGGATAGAAGAAGGCAACAGATCCCTGGAACTGTAGTTAAGATGATTGTGAGCCACCATGTGGATGCTGGGAGCCCAGGTCCTGTGCAAGAGCAGCCAGTGCTCTTAACTGCTGAACCATCTCTCCAGCCCAAGGACAACTTTTTTTTTTTTTTGTCTTTTTGAGACAGGGTCTCCTTGTAGCCCCAGCTGTCCTGGAACTCACTGTGTAGACCAGGCTGGCCTTGAACTCACAAAGATCGTGCCCGGCTAGGGACAGCTTCTTAAAGCACCTTCCCCTACCCTCTTGAGTTTTGCCAGACTTGATCAGTTAGAGGTTTTTTCCTTAGGTTTTGGATCTGGAGAGGAACAGATTGGAAAGGTATTCTGGAGATCTTTTCACAGTAGTGCCTTTGTGTGTATCATGCTCTTCTCTGAGCTTTTCTTCTTAGTCCATTGTTGCTATCTTTTTCTAGTGTGATATCCCATCCCATTCCCCCCCTTGCAGTTTTGTAAGTATCAATAACCTGTATTAAAGTCCCCTTTTAAAGATAGCATTTCTAATGGTGTATAAGAGCCCTACTACAATAACTCTTATATTGAAAAATAGTAGGTACCTGAGCTGGATAATAATTAGGTTTATTTTTTAGAATTAAGATGATGTAGCCTGTCTGGCCTCGAACTTACTGCATAGCTTGGACTGTTCTTGAATCTTGAGATTCCCCTTCATCTGTTACTCCCCCCCCCCCCCCCATTACTGGTGTGTCACCAGACTTAGCTAGTAAGTTTAAAATGATGGAACTGGTGTTGTGTGGGTTTTATACTGGCTCCAAAGATGAAGTTATTTTGGAAATAAATTTCCCTAGGTCACTACTTTGAAACACAGTACTTATTAGGATGTCTAACTTCATTTTGTAAAAAGGAAAAAAAAAAAAAACTTCTCTGGGGCTGGAGAGATGCCCCAAAGATTAAGAGTATTGTCTGCTCTTGCAAAGGACCCGAATTCAGGTCCCAGAACCTACATGGGAGCTAACAACTGTAACTCCAGTTCCAGGGCAATCCAAAGCCCTCTTCTGACCTCTGTGGGCATTGCATGACATGGGTGCACTTACACACATGCAGGCAATACACTCATAAAAGATAAATAGTAAAAAAATCTCTATGTGTGATGTGTACCAGCTCCACATATCAAATCTGTAAACCAGATGCTCAATATATTTTCAGAATTTCAAGGCGTGCTGAGATTTTTAATGATTTTAAGAATCCAGTAAAAGCTTCAAAGTTTTGAAAATTTATGATTCCTTTTGAGATACAAATTATATTCCTTTCATATTTTTGAAAGTTGAATTTTTTTTAAAGAAACAGAACTCTTCCGGTTTGAGACAGGGTCTCCCTGTAGCCTCAGCTGGCCTGGAACTGGCTATGTAGATCTGACCGGCCTTGAACTCAGAGATCCGCCTGCCTCTGCCTCCCAAGTGCTGGGATTAAAGGCATGTACCACCATG